GGGGGAGGGGCAGAGGCAGCCACTACAGCTGGGTGAGATGCCAAGGCACAGCCCCAAAGGTGATTCCGAATGCTGCCAATGGTGACCTGGAGACACAAGTCAGTCCAGTCTGCCGTGAAGCTGAACAACCTCTGGAGGAGAGGAGCAATGGGCATGGAGCCACAACAAAGACTCTCATAACAAAGCTGTCAACATTATAGGATGCAACTGCAACCAGCCAAAAACCAGCTGAAGAGACTAAGAAGAAATCACAGGAAGATAAGGAAAAGAAGGGAAACAACGGTATCCTAGAAGCCAACAGGAAGAATGTGAAAGGGAAGCAAATGACCCTGCAGAATTGGAAGAATGAATGACCAACAGGAGTCCTCTGGACTTGGCAGCCCCTGAACAGTTGAGGGAACAGGGGTCCAAGTCCAGGGCAAAAGCTAGGGACCCAGGCACTGAAGAGGCAAAGACATGTAGGATGACTAATGGGGATGAGAACAGGGAAAGCTGAATCCAAATCTTGAATGCTGTTTTAACTGCAGAAACTTGCCTGTGCCACATGTTTTACAGCCAAACACTGAAAAGCCTTCAATACTCAGGAGAACATTTCTGGGGTGAGGTCAGAGCAGGCAGAGAGAGCCTCAAATGTAAGGACATTTGGCGGACAACGGAGAAGCTGACTTAGAGCACAGCAGAACACAGGGACTAGAAGGATATGAAGAGTCAGCTCAAACAGGAGACATGAAAAGGGAAGACCTTTTCCTCCTGAGGTTTGGAGCTTCCAAATGAGGACTAGATTAAAAAGTAAAACCACCAGAGCTGTGCCTTTGGAAAGTACAAGAAGCCAGGCAAAGGAGTACAGCAGCAGCTAGAGCCAATTCAGCAGTGAGGGGGAGGCAGAGGCCTTCCTGGGCAGTGGACCGAGAAGGGGGTGCCCAGCCAGCACCAGAACAATCAGGTGTCCTCACAATCACTGTACCCAGGAGAGGAAGGAGGGAGCAGGGTACAGAGCAGGAGGCTGATAACTAGGCCAGGTGCTAACCCTTACCCTGGGCAGTGGAATGGCATGATTCTTCATGACCAGTACATAGAATCCTACACCCTGCCTGCAAAAAGAGTTAGAGCCCTGAGGAGAAGCACGCATTAGACTCAAGTATTCTTAAAACCTTTTCTCCAAGGTTCAAGCACAATACAGTCTGGAAATCACAGTGACATGGAAGAAGTGAGGGTTCTTGGATGTGGCCACACTGAAGCCAGGCCAGGAGACTGAGCCTGAAGGAACCATCAGGCTCCTCCCTACCCCTGTCCCTGCTACCCATGGCCCTGGTTCACTTCTCTTCTCTCCTACAAACAGACACTTCCCTGTCCTCTAGGAGCTCCCACAGAAATTGTGGCAGG